GCCCACATTTCGTATGGTATAATTGAATCCAAAGTGTCAGGGAGTGAGCCTACTATCGTTTGTCGCATTTTTGTTTTGATATCTGTGTTTGCTTCGCCGAAGAGTCAGTCAGACACGTAAGTTATTTTTGGTATCAGCCATGTTCAGTTTCTGCAACATTAGTATGCATGTGATCAGCAGTCCAGTCTAGCCGATCTTTGTACAATATTAATGTATGTTATAGCATTTTGGTATTAGTGAATCTAATATACTATCGAAACAGTATTTCATCAGTTTAACTAAAGACATAATTTGCATTTATAAATATTATAAAAAGAATTCATTAGAAACTTGACATGTTTATGTCTCTTCATATACATAATTTGTAAAGAATCGTCATCCATTCTTCATTGTATCCAGGACATTCTTATTTACAAGATTTAAAAGCAGTATTACCCAGATAGATTAGATTTCGTCTAACAAGACTACTGACAATAACTACTGAACTACATATACCTAAGTTATTTGTCCTACCTAGATAATAAGTCATCTAGTCAGGACAAATAGTTGTGAGTCATTGAGCTGATTTTACCGAAACTGTAATGCATAAACAAAAGATAGGCGCGCTATTTGGTTGATAGGTCAGCAATGTACTATATCGTGTTATAAAAAAGGAAAACCTTGTACCTTGACTACGTGCATTGACATAGTAGATACCAACTGTGCTTGATTATGATACTCAAAATTGCTAGCAAGAAACGTATGTACAGCAAAAAATGTATCTCCGCAACATTACAGTGGAAACGTGTAGTCGGAGAGTAGTCAAGATATTACGCAAACGCTAAAGAATCTTTAAAGTGCAATATCGTATGATAGGATTAAAATAATACTGGTTTGCTTTATACTTTGCTATATATATGCAACGTATCAGTTTTAATCAAAATTGTTTAGACTAGAGTAAAGATACATCAAACGTTAAATATAGTTTACTCAGATATAATAAAGTGTCCTGAAGACTACAATGAAAAGTCCAAACTTTCTACACATTTGTGGATATAAATGAAAATATACAAAAGAATAAGGTAATGATTCAAATTAGTACAATTAAGCAAGATTTATTCGTGCTGAATATGAAATCTTTATAAAATTGTTGAGACTTAAAAATATATCCTTGGAAACAATACAAAAATATTAAAATAACCCAAGAGATTAGATAATTATTATAAATGGTAGATTATAATTAATATGTGGATTAACCAAACAAAAGAAATGTGTGGATATCTAAGATAAATCAGAAATTATAATATCTTTAACATTTCCTTGAAAAGAAGATGCACGTGATATAATGAGTCACGTTATGAAAAATCCGGTCAGTCTCGATGACGTATTTGAAACATTGTTGATGAAATGTATAATCACCATAGATTTTAATTAACATCAGTCATCGTTCTAAAGTCTTGATGAGTGATTTTTAATTCGAAACAATCAAAATAAAAATGAGGATTGAAGCATATGTCCCGTCTGATGGTAAATGTAACCGTAGCCTATAGACGCCTGAAGCAGCAGAGGGCACTGTCAAATGAGCATTGCCAACCCTTAAGAAATCCTATTATATCCTTCTAGAAAATCCCTATGCTGTAGTCTCTAGAGTAAAAGCTCGGCAATAATAATTTTACAACCTAAGTGTACGCGGGAGGTAGCTCTTACCACACTGCCCGAACTACTTAGGTGGCTATGAATTTATTAATTTAATAAAACATATATAATATATATAGAAGAGAAATATATAGAACATATATAAAATCTCTATAATCTAATACTAAATAATAATTCAACTGTTATGAAAATGTGATGCAGAGGTCAAGGGTCTACGGATGTAGCGTGCCTACCTATAACGAATTATTGATGAGACAAATTTTATGCAAAAAGATGCCGGTGGTACAAAATCCTCTCTCATGCCCAGAAAGAAAGAAAGAAATTTGGCGGAATATATTATAAAACAACGGTTTGTTCTGGTACTGATTAAAAAATATATAAGAGCAGATAGTTTTTACATGTTGTTACCGTTTAATTTATTATTATCTAGTTTTAAGAGAACTGAGTCTCTACTTACCCTGCAGCAAAACTGGCATGAAGATGAATTGATATAAAACAACGCTCGGTTGTGATACTCATAAAAATATAATACCAGATAGTTTTTATATTATTATGTTGTTACTCCACTGTTTAATTATCTCAGATGTTTTATTGACTTTTAAAAAAGTAAAGCACATATTAGTTGTTGACTTTCATCCAACCTTGTTTACAAATCTTCGTTGTTGGAAAATTACAATAACTTTATATTAGTCTCATCAATTCAAATTATAAACGTGACATTTTGTGAAGATTGATGGCTTTTAGATCTTATTTTTAATGTTCCTGTCCCATTATTAAGTCTGATTGAAGTACTCTTCTCAGTTTCACAATTATTTATTTCTTGAAATGGCAAAGAAGCTGATGGCCCACCTAACAGTAACCATCGTATATGCACATGAACATCATGTTATATCATACCACTAAAACGTGATATAAAACAAGCATTGTAGAATACAGTTTCCAGTTGACTAAAACGTCATGCCTCTTATCTTGTAATTGCAGTGCCAAATCTGCACCCGACAACCGAAACACAGCTTTCAAAAGCAAACGGCTAAAATACCTACATGACTATGGAACCCACGCAAAAGCCTTGTTACAGTCTGTCTCTGGTAAAAAATATGATGTAACTAATATTTCTGCCAATTTCATAAATTCAGTTTGGAATTGAATTAAAAAGTTTTGCCATTATTTTTGAGGATTTGTGCTATGTTTTAGACCTATAGCACTGCGACCTGCAAAGATCTATTGTGCTCGCCCAATTTTTCAGAGTTCGCTCATTGAAGAAGATTCTTAGAAGCCATGGTTTTCATCTCCTCAGGATAGAGTAAGGATACTTTTTTATTTCAAAAGGAATATTTTTTTAGGCATGAGTAGGCTACAACCGAATAAGATACATACCATACGTTATAAGTGTTTCCATGTGAATTTAATTCTTTTCTATCCTTTGGAAACATGTTAGTATTTCATCTAATCCTTTTTAGGTTACGTGGTCAACAAAACGGTTGACATCAAGTACTAACTAATAACTGTTTTGTAGATACTGAATAGAATGGAGCTACATTTCACTAAACGAGGTCGTATGTTTATATTTCAGTTTCTTTTTCAGCCTTTTGAGTATATTTATTTTCATGCCAGGTCCCTTGGCGCGTGGAGAATGGAATTTTACTTGTTAATTTAGTCGAGTCTTTGTTTTTAATATTATTTATATAATTTTTATAAGAAAATCTTTAATCATTTGAAAATTAGCAAGTAATAGTAAATTAATATATTCACATGGGAATATATTAGTAAAACTGAATAAGTTCAGAATTCAAGTAAGTAAGTAAGTCCAATTACTCAAGTAACACACACATACACAATGTATCTCTTAATAAATTTAATCCTATACTTCAACCCCTTACTGAAAGTTCTTTAAAATATGAAACATGGATCTCATTAGTCCGATAGCAGTATGAAGTTTTAATACTGCAACACTGTTTTTATACAACAAACTATGATGTTCGTATTATATCCATCACATATATATCATCATATTATATATCATCATGTCCACATACATATGTGTGATTTGTACGAATTCCATTAAAAACGTCTTATCCCTATTTGAATTTATGACTTTTTTTTTGTCGCGTTTTCTAACATTGTATATTTAATCGAAGTTACAAGAGGCACTTATGACCATAATACAATATCATTTTTGTAGTTTAAAAAGAAAATCATTTTTAATAATGTATAATTTTTCAGTATGTTTTACTTATTCCAACATCATAACAACAAAGTCCCTGCTACATAGTAATATTTTAGTATACCATATCCTTTTACTATATAGATAATTAAATGGATATATGCGTATAAATTACTTATTTTTTAATTCTAAATCTGTAACTAATAAATTACAAACGTTATAATATTATTAGTCTTTACATACAGACATACTTACTGTATTACGTACGAATGAGGAAATTAAGTGTCGAAATTGTATTAATAACAATAAATCGTTTCTAAACATTTAACAATATACGAAAAATCATGGGATCTAAATCGAAATCACTTACCTCACAATTACAAGGTGGTAAGAACCCGTAAGATTTCCTAATTGTATCTATAAATAATTACTACCTCAAATTTAAAATAGTATTTACAATGTGATGATAATTAGGCTATATGATTGTAAAATATGTAAGTAGTAAATCTCTAAACTACATAGTCATTGGTATAAATCACATAAGTGTAAAGTTGACTTAGTAACTTTTATAAATAGACGACTCCCTGCTAAGGCCTTGATCGTTTTTAAAAGTAAAAATAAAAACAACTTAGAGTTAAATATTTGGATATATTAAATCTCTAAATGACTTATTTATTAAGCAAATATTTGGATGTATTAAATCTCTAAATGACTTATTTATTAAGCAAAATACTACAACTATTTAAGTATTGTAGCAACGATTTAGTTATGTCAAAAATAAGTTATTAAATGAATATGTTTAAATTATAATTATTTTCTTTAAGAATAGTACCTACTCATATAAAGTAAAACAACATAATAAACGAAATTGCAAGTGTATTTTGTTAACAATTATTTAAAAATGGAACAAGTGAGTATATGGAAAAGTATATTAAAAAACAGATTTTGTTTTTAAAAAATATTTTTAATAAAATTTATAACGCCTTTAATAGTATTGCCATGTGTATCAGGCAGGATAGGAGTCTTGAGATCTGTGTTTATCTAACGTAGATAGGTAGAATATCCTCTATACTCAACTTGATGACAGCATCACGTTTCGTTTACTAAAAATTCACTATTCAAAGTATGCAAATAGTTTTATCACAAAAAATACATAAATTTTTACGAAGCTATGAAAAGCAAGTATTTAAATAAATATTACCTGACTAAAAAAACTGCTGGACAAATCCACACAAGAACGACAATGTAAATAGTCACCAAACACAATAACACACACAAACTTTTACTTTTAATTAAATAATATTACGCTTTAAGATTTGTTAAATTTATTATTGTTACGTGGGTGGACGCGACGCGCGTTCTATGTCGAAACTCATGTGCTACTAAGTCTCATTCTACTGAACTGAACCACCGATTCAACGAACTCCGCGCGCGGATCGTAGGCAGTACGCTCGTATACAGTGCGTCTTTGATTGTGTGCTTTTGCCAACGAACAAAGGCGAAGCCATCCGAACTGCCAGCTGTTTAATGTTTGTGAATTCGACACATCACCAATCGATTGTCGCCTCGTACTTGGTGACGTAACATCTTCAATACACCATTAAATTATTAAACTACCGAATTCAGGTTTAAATTCTAACGAATTATTCGTATTATCTATACATTGCAACTTGTTATTTTTCAGTATAATTACAAGTATAATGAGATTTATTGCCTATCTATATTTGCATAATAGAACGTCAGTATTAATGCGAAGAGTACAAAGTGAGTGCGGTACGCACCGGTATGGGGTAACTTCGGTGCATACTCGGTGCGCGCGTACCGGCGGCGAGCGAGACGGCGATATGTGGCGGGGTTGTTCTAACATCGATTTCGGTCATTGTGCCTGTCTCTGTTTGGCTCAATGTCCCCTCTTTTTCGCATGGCGCGACGCGCACTGCGGATGTACTTGGCTGGTGGGCATATGGATGGTGGCCTATTTTGGTACAAAGTTAGTGCATTTTGAGCAATGTTTAGTTAGGATAAAAATATCTCCAGCACAGGCTGTAGTTGCGTTCTATTTTCTCTCAGTACTAAAATCTTCAAAGAGTCGTTTTATCCATTATGATGGAATAGTTCACGGTACGATCTTGCAACGCAGTAGAACCGATGGACGGAGAGGATGAAAATTATGTAAGTCAGGTCCGTTAATCCACCCCGTGTCGAATTAACCAAAATGGTTTCCAAAAGAGGCCTCGTAAATATCGACCTGAAAAGACACCAGTCCCCATTATTAGCAATACCCTCAGAATAAATTTCTGAAAAAAAAATTACAATACAGAAATATTCTCAAAAGCAGTCCTATATGGGCAAATGTAATGCAATAGGGCCTCCATTAGTTAGAGCAGTTCAAATATGTTTCAAATTGACACCATCACATAATTCACGGCCTATCCTTGGCTTTTAAGAGGAGTAATAAAAAAAATCCAAGAAATGCAATTGTGATGGTATTCTTCAATATTCGTCCTGCCTCTATTCAGAGACCTTGCATCTTCCGTCACCCAAACGCGATAAAATAGAATAGAATAGAAAATAATTTATTCAAATAAAATAAAAGTAAGCACTTTTGAATAGTCACAGTTATCATTCTTTTAATCTACCGCTCATTCGTACAGCTGTCTCATCACAAGAAGAACGAGAAAGAAACTTGCGTGTTGCTCTTTTAAATAATCATTGTAACTTTAAATTTCCAATTCAAAACGTGCGAGTACAAACCACCAACTAGCACTAATATTTTTAATAGTAAGTTTACCGTAAATATTACGTTCCGCTCTACTCGATTTACTCTATTATTACAGTATTTATAAAGATACTTCTTTCGTTATTCTGTAAATTCATTGTAATTCCAATGTAAGACATTTTTTTTTAATAATTATACTGTCTTGAATTATTCGTATGTATAATCTAAAGTTATGTAATTTTGTGATAAAAACCTAGCTTTTCAGTTAAGTGTAATTCTAAAACAAAACTTGTTTAAAGAAAATCTAACTAGTGTTACCTTCTTAATATTATTATGACGTTAATATTGATTGTCTTTAACACTATTCAAAAGAAAACTATAGTATAACACTAAACATTTATTCAAAAGAGCAACACACAAGTTTCTTACTCATTCTTCTTGTGATGAATCTGCATTCCGGATGAGTGGAAATATAAGAAACAAAATTTATAGAGTATGAAAGCACAAAAGGCAGTCTTATAGCTCGATCTCTTCCAGACAACCTTTAGGTAGAGGAACATTCACAGAAGATGGTGGATAGCACATGAATCGAATAAAACAAATATAAATAATAATAATATATCACATATATAACATTATACATAATATTCAAAAAATATACATTTATGTATATTCCATCTCTTTAAAAATCTAAATTATATATCTGAGGATTCATAACTCCCATATGACTGGAAGTGTTTTCGACAGTTCCGTTTATTTTGATGTTATATTCTGTTGGAAGTCGTATATATCTTAGGAATTATTGCAAGTATATGTTGAAATGTTACAGCTGGTAATACGAATCTAGACTGACATTTGTTTAGCTTAAAAATTCCACATTCCATATGTGTCGAGTGAGATGAAGAGCAGATCATCTCAATTGAGAATGTATTTACTGAAATGTTAAAGTACAGATATTTTTTAAATATATTTAGTACTAGCTATGCCCGCGGTTTCACTCGCATGTTTGTAGCCTTATGTGTTATTCTCATTTATAAATTACTGTATAGTTTCATCAAAGTCCGTTTATTATTTTTTGCGTGAAGGTGTAACAAACATCCATCTATACTCACAAAATTCCGCGTTTGTAATAGGAAAATCCCAGAATTCTGTATTGGGGAGTTTAAAATGTTAGAGAAAAATAATCAAATTTAATTATTAGTAATTATAATAATATTAATAAACTAGACAATTCACCCAGTTCTATCTACTGCCAAGCGAAACAGAGCTTGTCTTATGGATACTAGACAACTCATATAAATACTGGTATATTTTTATAGTAATAATTAAATGAAACATAAAAAAAAAAAGAATCTATTAAAGGAGTAAAACTATTAGAAGATAGTTATGTTTTTATTGAGTTAGGTGTTAATTTACGAAGTTCATTTCATTAGTTAATAGATTGGTATTAATTTTGTTAATTGCACTAACATAGGATTGTGTGAGACCACAGATGTTCAGTGATGAAATCTGACCACTATTACTGAAAAGGTTTTACATAAATTTAACATATATACAAGCTATCGTGACTGACTTCATCTGCTTAGGAATAGTGCTCTGTGTAGTTTATTAAAAATTTTTATTACGACTTTTGTATCGATTATTGGAGAAATTATTTATTCTCCATAATATAGAATTATGAACCTTCTCTTTTATGAAGTTCTTTGAAAAATTATACACATCTTGCTATAAACACGTAAGCCTGTAACTATTTTCTTTCCCGCAAGATCGAATTTTGAGAAACTTAACAGTAATATACTTCAGAATAACACATCTTATCTTAATCTTAATAATACTACATACACGAAAGTTTGTAAGTGTGGATGTTTGTTACACTTTCACGCAAAAACTACTAAACGGATTTTGATAAAACTTTACAGTAATATAGCTTATGCATTAGAATAACACAGGCTATATTTTTTATTTAAATTTAACGCGTGTGAAATCGCGGGCATTGGTTGTATCTAATATTATAAACATGAAAGTTTTTGAGTATGTATCGATGTTTGTTACTCTTTCAGGCAAAAAGTATCGAACGGATTTTGATGAAACTTTACAGTAATATAGCTTATACATCAGAACACGCGGAGAAAAACACGCAGGATATAATTTAAAGAGACATTATGTAAATAGGGCGAAATGATATGATAAATGTTAAGTAAGTGTTATGCAGACGAATTTGCGCGGGTCAGCTAGTATCAAATAGATATGTAACATATCTCGTGGCAGCCTGGCGGAAATACTAGACATAACTATACAGTGAATTGTGGTCATTCCACCATATGATAAAGGCAATAAAGACCAAGTTAATGAAGGTAATTAAATATACTAGGCAACTCATTATCTAATTATTGTTACGTGACCATATGCAGCATCCAGCAGAGAGTGTTGCGGCCTCTTTAACAGGACTGATGCTGGCCGCTAATATGACATAACTAGAACAGACAGAACTGTTGACTAGACACAAATACGACAGATACAAAGACAGGAGAGAGAGAGAGGGAGACAATATAGGATTTTATAAATTATATTTTATTATCTCAGAAAACATTTTTTCATTATCGACGACCATCTGAACGACGACTAGCAGACATTTCAGACAGTAATATACTTTGTTTAATAATAAACTGTACCTATTATGTTTTTATGTAAATTGAATCTGCTCAAATTTTCAGCAGACCTTGTACTATCTGTACTAAACCACGGACAAAAATACTTAAATCATCATCTGTTTCTTCTCTATCCCTTTCATTTGGGTTAGCGTAATATGTTTTGCTCTTTCATTCATCCCTGTTCTCAGTCATCTCGTTATTCACTCCCTTTCTTATCATACCATCTTTCATACAGTCCATCCATCTCTCTTTCGGTCCTCCTCTGCCCTTATAACCATCCACATTCATATGTAATACTTTCTTTAAAATATTCTCTCCATTCCTACGCATTCCATGCCCATACCATTACAGACTATTACTTTTCAACCTTTCCGACACTGGCGCCACTTTATAAAAATACTTCAATTTATATTTTTTAATACATTCATAATATACATAGAAAACGAACTGACCAATACAAACAATTATAAAAAAATCCTATTTATCCCTACAACTGTTTGAGTGTGAATCGAACCCATGACCATCCGAACTAAGGCAGTATACTAAACCGCTGACCCATCGAGGTCAATCTCATTATGATGTAAAAACCCACGTTCAAAGTACCATGTTGAGAGTAATTATTTTTTTCTGTACGCTGATAAATCTGTCAGTATGTATGTATTTATGTAAAGATAAACCTTTTGACCCAACAATTGAGCATTGACGATATTATTTACGATAATGATGTATTAAGACAGAAAAACAATCGTCAAAAGATACCGGATCGAGTCATTACGTACGCTGAGAATCAGTACAGCATTAAAAGCACGACGGTTTAGCGCACCGCTTTGCCTTTGATGATCACGGATTCTATTCCTCGTCATTCTTATATTCATGATTGTTTGTATCAGACTGAGTATCTGCTATATATATTATGTATTTACACAAAAATGTATCTATATAGTCATATCAGTTGTCTAATACCCGTAACACAAGCTCTACTTAGCTATGGACTAGATAACTCTCTGTGAATTGTCCAGGAAATTATGATTATAATAACTTACATTAAAGTTTGTATATAATTAGTAATGAAGAGTTTGTTTGT